ACACTTATTGAATATGACGCTAAGGCTATTCCTCGCTAAGCACATTTCGTTTCTAACGATGTAACATTATGGGCAACAATCAAACTGACTGGGTCTAGTACACGCGAAATAGCTGAGAAGCAAGAACAAGGAGAAAAGTCGAGCCCTCATAGTTAGAAGTAACCATAAAGTACGGTTCTGTTAGTAATCGCCCTTTTTGGTGTCCGAAAGGGTCGCTCGAGTTTGAATTGTTCGGCTCAGTGGTTTTAATCAAATGAAGGACAAAGAAGACAGTAAAGCGGAAGTCAGCTTTTTTAGCCACACAACTGAGGAGTTGGAATTGCTCAGCTAATTATTACAATGCCCTTCAGAATCGGCCGGCCAATTTCACAGATGAGTCTGAACATCAGACCCCGGTAAGTGACACCCGATTTTAACAGCCAGCGGGGGCTGTAAAAGAAATTTTTAGCTGATAGAAACCTCGTGCTCGTAAATGCGTACAAAGGGCTGGGCAGACCAATCTTGCCACATATCATCAAAACACAGCAGAACTTCGAAAATACTCGACGCTTACACCATCGCTGCAGGTTTCAAAGGTGTCCAAGTCCGAAATTTTAGTCCTAGGCCTTATCGAGTCAACTTCTTAAATCTCTGATGAATACCGCCTCGCCAAAGTCTCTCGAACGTTTCTGCGGTCACAACTGCAGTTCAACATCCAAACCTGTTGATCCTAAACTACTAATGACTTCAACATCCTCGAAAAAGTTCAAAGGCGTGCAACCAAATCAGTCGAATGTCAGAACTCACAACCGTATGAGGCACAATTGTCTATTCTGCATATTTTCTCCTTTAAGTCATATAAAGCCACGAGGTGACCCGATCCAAATATTCCGTAGTATGTGTGGTCAGAACTGTTGCCGTGTACCGGGCGACTCCTTCTAGTTGACAAGCGCAACGGACCTGCAAGAACCTTTAGCCAAATTACGTGTAAATGGAATCGGCAGAATAAATGGAAGTTCTTCCCATCCAGCAAAGTGTTCAGAGCATGAAATATTCTGCCTGTAGGTGACGTTATTTCGATATTCATAGGGGCCTTTAAGCGGAGACCAAATCACTATATCGCTGCATGCAGTAATACATACAGCGCATATATAAGACAGACTTAATTTCCATTCGATCTTTCTTGACGCCCTGCGCAAACAACTTACTCCTTTTTGGCATACTTATACACGCTATTTAGTAAAGTGTGTGTATACATTTTATTGGTATTTACATTGACACATGACGGTAATTGACTTTCACTTTTAACGTAACTGCGCTTTAACTGACTACGTTGTTACGCACCAACTAAATGCACATACGTTCTCCTGTTCTGATAACACTTGGAATCTTTAATCTTCCAACGAGGTTCGTACACTTCATTTATGCGTGTTTTATATGCCTTTTTCTGAATGTTTTTATGCACCTCCGTTTGCTGTAGCAAAAACAGATTTCAAAGATGTCCCTAAAATAAACTGAACCGGACTGATGTTTAAGTCTACGCAAATCCAAACTTCCTGCCCTTCATGAAGATGGTAAAACCACCTGAATGAATTGTTTAGTCCAATATAATGCCACTTAATCATTTTGTGGCACGTGCTACATGCCTTCATCCATGAACTAAAAATTGATTGGACTGGCGGACTGCACTGCAGAGACTGTGTATTTTCGATACGGTAGGCATTATTGGTGCTATTGGCTCCCAGGTGAGACGACTTTGCGCGACAGGTTGATTCAACATCAGTCCCAAGTGGGGATCAAATTGTTGGAGGGTAATTCAAGGTACTGGAAAGTTTCGTGTCCAGTTCCAGGACTGCAGACTGCCCACATCCTGTTGAAGTAGTCTGCCAACACAGCGTACTGTTTTCTCACTGCCAGGATAACATTACAGTCAAAGAAAAGGGAGGCTGGAATGGCCGCTTCTGGTTTATTAGCCGTCGTTGTTATGTATGCAAAACAGAAGGTTAATTGGAAATAGGAGGTGTACTGAGTACGATAGACAGCACAAGTGAGGAGGCTTGTGGAAACGGCCGGGTATATGGCAAGGGGGACTGTCATAGGCTGATGGGTGGCCAATCAGCACAAAGACGGTGTGAACAGGGGGCCATGACCTTGATCGTTCGTTTGTCACGCGTTTGTGGCATGATGTCCTGACGGCCCGGGCAGGATACGCTGCATCCCTCCACCCTAAAGTGGAGAGCATGAGGGGGAGGGGAGGGGAACAGTATAGGTAATAGTGGATTGTCAGACAATGTTCTAATAAGATTCGTCCTGAAAGCGTTGGACAGGTTTGCGGTTTTAGGGTCGATCTTCTCAGGGCGGTATTTTCTACCTCTGCGCCGCTTTGTGCAGTCACTGGCTCCTCTGCCCCTAAGTTAGTGCTGGCCGGGGTAGAAGGAGGTGGAACATAAGCCTCGGTGGATGGCGTAGTGCCCTGTGCAGGAAGAAGGGGCTCAGTCCTCGGGATGTCAGGATCCCTATCAAGGGTTGCTGGCAGTTTTAACTCTCCGAATTCTCCACTTACTGTGTCCGTTCGGCTGCGAACTTGGTCCAGATGTCGACGCACAATTCTCCCACCTTCTAACTCTACTTCCACTATTTGACCCTCGCTTTTTTGAACTACCGCTGGACACCAGTTCGTTTCGTGTTCCAGTCGCGTGTAGACACTTTCGTTGGGCGCGACGACTCGTGGTCGGGTGCTCACATCATATCGTTCTTTCATCTTCGTCTGTTTTGCAATGACCCTATCCTGCGTTGATGGATTAAGCAGGTCGAGTCGTGTGCGCAACTTCCGCTTGAACATCAATTCTGCAGGCGAAGCACCCGTTGAGTCGTTTGGTGTTATGCGATAGCTGAACAGAAAGCGTGACAACTTGGTGGCCAAGTCCGCTTCTGTCTGTCTGGCTAGTCCGTGCTTCATTGTCTGGACTGCACGCTCTGCGAGGCCATTTGAAGCAGCGTGGTACGGGGCAGTAGTTAAATGTCTAATTCCATTTTTATCCATGAAATCTTTAAATTCTGCACTAGTAAAGGCCGGGCCATTGTCTGAAACGACCATTTCAGGTATCCCAAAAGTAGAAAAGACGGTTCGCAACTTGTTGATTGTAGTCAGTGAGGAACAAGAATTTCCTGTCGGAATCGCATCCATCCATTTAGTGTGGGCGTCAACTACCACCAAAACCATATGGCCTTGGAATGGCCCAAAATAATCGACGTGTACCCTCTTCCACGGCGAGTCGGGCAAGGCCCAAGGCTTCAGAGGAACCTTCGGTAAGGTCTTCTGTGTTATTTGGCACACGTGACATGCTTTCACCACGTTTTCTATATCTGCGTCAATTTTGGGCCACCAAACATAGCTGCGGGCGAGAGCTTTCATTTTAACTGTACCAGGATGAGCATCATGCAGGTCTCTGAGGAGGGCCCGTCGGCCTTGTGGTGGCACAACTACACGATTGCCCCATAGTATGCATCCGTCTTGTAGACTTAACTCGTTCTGACGGCTGAAGAATGGTTGAAAATCAGAGGAGGTAGAGGACGGCCAGCCAGATTGTAAGGCTCTTTTTACCCGACTTAGGAGAGGGTCTCTCGATGTCCACTGTCGAATTTGTTGACAGGTTACAGGCGCGTTGACTAGATTCTGCAAAAGATTCACGGTCTCAAAAACAGGTGCCCCGTTAATGCCATCGTCCACGATAGGAAGCCTACTCAAGGCGTCAGCCACTACGTTTGCACTACCTGTAACGTATTTCATTGCATACGTGTAAGCAGATAAAGTGAGTGCCCATCGTTGCATTCTTGGCGAGGACCTCTGTTGTATCCCTCGTTTTTCTCCCAGCAAACCTAAGAGGGGTTTGTGATCAGTGTGAATTTCAAAGTGTCGGCCAAAAAGATACAGGTGGAACCGATGTAGGCCAAACATTATTGCTAAGGCCTCTTTGTCTAGTTGCGAATAGTTGCTTTCCGCCTGTGACATGGTTCTTGATGCAAAAGCAATCGGCATCTCCGAACCCGAAGGCATTCGATACATGAGAACGGCACCTACGCTGTACGGAGACGCATCACATTTCAGTATGATAGGCTTTTCGGGGTCATAGTGAACTAGGACAGATGAGGAGGTAAGAGCCGCCTTTGCCTGTTCGAAAGCACTTTGTTCGACCTCCGACCAGTGCCAGCCACAATTCTTTTCAAGTAGTCGATAAAGAGGTTTGAGAATTGTAGCCGATTGATTCATAAAGCGACTAAAGTGGGTGACTAACCCCAGGAATGAACGCAATTGACTAGTATTTTTTGGGCGCGGCGCCGTCTTCAAGGCTTTGAGCTTATGTTCGAGTGGATGGAGGCCAGTTTTATCCACCCTGAAGCCCAGGTATTCTACCGAGTCGGCAAGGAAAGTGCACTTATCTTTCCTGAGTTTAAAACCGGCGTCCTCTAAACGTCCTAACACGATGTTTAGAGTCTCTAGATGACTATGTTCAGATGGGCCGGTAACTAATATATCGTCAAGATATGCGCAAACGTGAGGTATATCCTTCACGAGATTATCAATCAAGCATTGAAATAAACCGGGAGCCGAACTTACTCCAAATGGTAGTCTTTTATATCGAAATAAACCCCGATGCGTATTGATGGTGGTGGCGTCTCGGGATTCAGTATCTAGGAAGACTTGGTTGTAGGCATGCTTTAGGTCCAAAGTTGTAAATTGATGACCACCTGAGAGAGATGCGTACAGATCCTCGATGCGCGGGAGAGGATAAGGGTTCAGTTTAGTTGCTGAGTTGATTGTCAGCTTGTAGTCGCCACAGATACGCACAGAACCATCGGTTTTAAGAACAGGAACTATTGGGGCTGCCAATTCCGAATATTGCACGGGCTCAATAATATCCGCTTTCTGTAGGCGATCCAGCTCTTCTTCGACCTTCGGTGCGAGTGCATAGGGGACTGTACGAGCTTTGAAGAACCGGGGCCGGAAATCAGACTGAAACTGAAACTTAACAGGTGGACCGCGGTAGTGGGTAGCTGAATCGTCACGAAATAGATCCTTATGATTTAACAAAATTGAATCTAAAGCCGGATTTACACCAATCCGATGTACATGGGATAGCACAGAAGGCACACATTTAATCCAATTTCGTCCAAGGAGATTCGGTTGCTGGCTTCCTCTCACCACATGAACCGGCAAGTAATGAAGTTCTCCATCATGTTCGACTTCGGCTGTAAAGACCCCTCGAACGTCTACGTTCTGTCCAGTGTAACTACGGAATGTTGAGCTGGCCGGTAGGAGAGAGGGTACTTTCTGAAGAGAGGTCTCATTGATGAGAGTAACAGCTGAGCCAGTGTCGATTTCAAACTTCACGGGATGATGATCAACCGGAAGCGTGATGGTGTAGGGGGATTGGAGAGTAGCGTTGGCCGGAAACATTTGGAGTATCGCCTCACCATCCCCAGCTGGACTAGGGTAGGTCGCATGCGTGTTACTATTCGCTCGTCTTTTGGAGAAACACACTCGTTCGATGTGGCCGACTTTCTTGCAAAACTGGCATACCGTCTTCTGGTGTCTACAGTCTGACCACCGGATATGATGCTGGCCACAACGGTAGCATGATGGTAGTTGTTTTGAGGGAGCTGATGGTCGCTGTCTAGGTGAAGACACAGCAGTGTTGACCAGGGAGACAGCCATTTCCGATTCCAAGGATGCTATCACTCCATAGTTTGACTGATTCAGCTGCTGAAGGTTTTGTCGCACGCGCTCCTGATGACTGGCAATATCACAGGCTTTCTCCCATGACAAATCCTTCTTCTCTGATAAGAGATTTTCCCGAGCTTTTTCATCGCGTAGACCGACGATCAACTGCTGAACGAGCATTGCGTGATCGAAGTGGTCTGCCTTGATCTGTTTATACCCACAGTCCTGAATGGCCAGAGTCAGATTAGTAATAAAATCACTGACACATTGATTGGATTCTTGACGCATTTGACAAAACCGATAGCGACTGAGAAAGACGTTGTCCTTTCCTCCCCACGCTGACTCGAGTTTTGAGAAGGCTGTTAGGAGATCTGTAGCCTTTTGTAGATTGAGGGCATCGAAATATCGTTGTCCCAACTCTCCGAGATTCGTCCGGAGGAGTTTCAACTTAGATGGGACGTCTAGTACAATCGTGGGTGACAAAATCGGGAGTAGTTCAATATAATCCTCAAATGTCTTCCTCCAGTGCAACCACGAGTCATTTGAGGGCTTCGGGGTGTTCTTTGGCCAAAAAGGTAGCGGTGTAGGCAGCAATGAAGACATGTTCGTTAGGCTGCGTCGCCAATGTTATGTATGCAAAACAGAAGGCTAATTGGAAATAGGAGGTGTACTGAGTACGATAGACAGCACAAGTGAGGAGGCTTGTGGAAACGGCCGGGTATATGGCAAGGGGGACTGTCATAGGCTGATGGGTGGCCAATCAGCACAAAGACGGTGTGAACATGACCTTGATCGTTCGTTTGTCACGCGTTTGTGGCATGATGTCCTGACGGCCCGGGCAGGATACGCTGCAGTCGTCAGTTAATCATACCCAATCCTAAGGTGCAGGACACCTGGGACTCGATCATGTGACCTGTTGGTTAGAAGTCCAACGCCTCCAACCACTGAACCACGGGCTCGTTTTCCTGTCCATTGCGATCGGGAATACGCAAGACATAACGGGATGAGTGAGTTCCGTAACACTATTGGTGACCGCCCCTCTACCGTTGTTTTCGTACTCCTGACAAACCTAAAGGGATACATCATTCCATGAATATAAATAAGGAGTTCGAGGAAGTAATTTACTGACTTACGTGGAGGACAGGACTCAACCTTGCAATGTAACCCTAAAAAGACCCTTGACAAGTCCATGTGCGAACAGAGATCTTGTATGACGTAATCTTACCAATGAGCACACACTGAGACATTCATTCAGCAACATTGGACAGTCGTATCGGAAGGCCCACGGTCATTTTCACTTCGCATTTTCCGGATAGTGGTCGTTTCCGTGGAATACTGTCAAATGGTATTTACAAGTCAATATAGACCGCAAAAACTGATAATAAGTATCCGAGAACTTTTTAAGGGTTGGTAAACCGAGATCTCCGCCTCTGACCTGATGTTGTTGCAAACTGAGAATGTTCACCGTGTATCCGCTTTAATAATTCCGTCTTCGTCCTAGCCGCATGAGTTTTGAAGTAAATGCTTATGAGGCTCACGTGCCCGTAAATGTCAGTTTACTGCCTTTTACCTCCTTATAAATAGGGATAAAACCAATTTTTCCTAAATACCGACGGAGCACCGCTATCCAGTTATCTTCAGAGGATCATTGAGAGCGGGACTGAATGACCAAGACGGTGGCTTGAGAATTTTGCGGAGATGTTATCCGAACGAGTCGGTTTGGTCGACCTCAGTCGTCCATTAATTTTTTCTACGCTTTCTTTCGCAAACATTGCGATGTCAATCAAAAGTAGTTTCGTTCAGGGAGGCATGAACATTTCTTTACAGGGAGGTTCTTAAGGGTAGCCAAAATGTAAACATGTGCACAAAACGATTTTTTCTTCAATATCAAAGTCCATATGATTCCCTGTCCACCCTCCAACATGGACCTGAGCCTGTAATTTGTTTAACTTTGAAAAATGATCAAAAACTTTTCATATGAAATTGAACTCCCCCGAGCATTCCACACTTCAGCCATTTTGCTGGATGGGAAGAACTTCCATATATTCTGCCGACACCAGTTACACGAACTTTGGCTGGAGGTTCTCGCATGTCCGTTGTGGCTGCCTACCAGAAGAAGTCACCCGATATAAGACGACAGTTCTGACCACGTATACTGCGGAACATCTGTATCGGATCCCCTCGAAGCTATGTATGACTTAAGGAGAAAAGATCCAGATTAGACAACTGTGCCTCATACGGTTGTGAGTTCTGACATTCGACTGATTTGGTAGCACACCTTCGATCTTCTTCGAGGATTTTTAAGTCATTAGTAGCTCAAGATCTCCAGGTTTGGATGGTGTACTGCAATTGTGAACGCATAAACGTTCAAGAGACTTTAGCGAAGCGGTATTCATCAGAGATTTAGGAAGTTGACTCGATAAGGCCTAGGACTGAAATTTCGGACTTGGACACCTTTGAAAAGTTCAACGATGATGTAGAAATCGGGATCCACAGCGGAGGTCCTATTAGAAGCTTACCTCTCGCAGTGCTCCGTTATTCAGTCGGGGAACTCGTGTCTTCTGGAAATCTGTTATGGCTCATGGGTGCAAAGATGGCGGCCGAAAATAACAAAGAATAACCTAAACCTCTGCCTTATCTCATCATCCTGGCGCTATAGTCTTCCAGAGTGACCCTATGCAGTCTAACAGCCCAAAATGTCCGTTCCCTTTTAGACAATATGCAGGACGACCGACCGGAACAAGGACGGCACCATATGCTTAAGAAGCGGTGCGCCATAGGGAAACAATCACTGTCCTTAGCAAGGCCTAATTCTCGGAACAGGATCAGCTGGAATTAATGGGTTCCAGCTTCAACTTTTTCTGGAGAAGCTGCCTACATGAAGGACGATGCGACGCCGGCGTTGCTTTCGCCATCCAGAAACGATATATTTGAATGGCTACTCCGTCTACCGCAGGGCATTTGTGACCGCTTCTTGGCCCTACTCCCACCGCCTTGATTATCTAAACTCACGACGGTCGTCAGCGCCTACCCTTTCACGTCGGCCAACTGCAATGGGGTGAGGAAAAATTTCAACATATACCTGCACGTCCCCCTGGTGACTGTTCCGAAGACCGATAAGGGGGTTTTCCTTGGCGACTTGAATGGTGGCGCCAGGATAGAGTACGCTGTTTGGGAGGGAGTGCATTGTTTCCATGGGATCGGTGGCTGCAACGACAATGGCCTCCTCCTCTTACGAACTTGCGCAAACCATGGTCTCCAACTCACCAAAACCCTAATTTCCGAATCGGAAAAAAACGTGGATAAAACGCCGATCGTGACGTCGACAGCTGCTGGACTGCGTTCTCGTTCAGAGACAAAATGGACAGGTTGTCCTGGTAAGTAGAGTGGTCAGCGACGCCGACGGTTGGGGGGAATGCTATCTGGTCATCTGCAAGGTGAGGCTGTAATTGTGACCTCATAGAAAAGCACAAGTTAAACCACCACCGGATAAGTTAAATACTACTATGCTGAATGTGTTCTTTCATTCCTTCACTTTCAAACATCAGGTGACCCAGTGCCCAGAGGAACTGAAGACAACGGACGACAACACAGTGACGCCAACTGCGGAGTACCACTCAATCCACCACCCTGGACGTCCACAGTCACCCACGCCGTCTACATCAGCATTGATTCGACGACAACGGTAAATAAATCTGCAATATGCAACGGCCTGGACCTCCTGCCTTACCTTTCAGAAACCATCAGGCCCGTGCAACAGCTCTCAATCAGGGAAATGCCGAGACCCGACGCAATCCTGGTAAAATCTTCGATCACAGTTGCTCTCAGCTGATGGACAAACTCACAACGCTGTCCCAAGAAATATGGAGGCAAGGACAATACCATCAGAACTTTGAAAACATCACCATCGTACACAATTGTAAACGCAAGGACGACCGTCGACTCTGTTCCAATCACAGAGGAATCTTGCTTCTCATCATTGTGGGAAAGATCTTCGCTCTCATCTTTTTCAACCGCCTTAACGGTCATCTAGAACAGAGGCTTTTCCCAGAAAGCCATTGTGACTTTCGATGACTGTACCGAGCCACCAACAGCACCTACATTACCTTCGTAGGCCTGAAGAACATCTTCGATGCAGTTAATTGCAATGGACTCTGGAGGATCATGCTAAAATTCGGGTGTCTCTAGCCCGTCAAATACATGGTAAGCCAACTACACGACGATGGTGCATTCTCGGAAGCATTTATAGTGACCAGTATAGTGAAGTGGGATTGTGAACTCGCTTTCACACTTTTCAGCCTTGTAAGTAAATAAATAAATAAAGTGTTTTATTTAGCACCCGTAAGGGTACTTTCCTGCTTCTCACTATCCTGGTGGACGCCAACCGAAAAGAGCGGTCAGGCAGCAAAATGGCCTGCCGGCTCGAACGGACATCTGCTTGAGACACGGTGTTTGTAAGCAAGCCCAAAAGTATTCCCGACTAGCATCCACGACCTACTGTTCGTGGATAACTGTACAATCGATACAACAAGGGGGCGGCCATGCAAAGGAACTTACCCCTTGCGTCAACTTTGGATTGACCTTTAACACGGAGAAGACGATGATCATACACCAACCGGTGCCAGACGCAGATTACAAAGGACTTCAAATCACCGCCAATGGGGCCCAACTGGAAACTATGGACAAAAAAAAAATTTACGATGGAAATGGAGCAGTTTAACAAGTTACCCTTCCTGGACGTCCTCATGTTTAGAGAGGATGATGGTTCAATAAGACGCTCCGTCTTCCACAAGACTACGTGGAAAGGGCAATACCTACATTTTAAAAGCTTTGCGCCAATACAATGGAAGCGTAATCTAGTACATACTCTTTTTCAAAGAGCGAGAAATATTTGCTCCAGGGACACCATAGATACAGAAACTGCCCGTATCAAAGAAGCCTTACTTAATCGTGGTTATCCTGCACGCTTCATTCAGAAGTACAGCAACCATTTACGGCCAAAGTTGACGGAACAGTCCGTTCCGAAGAAGCCCGTTATAATATGTCTACCTTTTAAGGGTGACAACGTCTCAAACACAATCAAGCGACGCTTGCGTTGCACTATAGAAAGAACGTACAACGCAGCAGAGCTTATCTTCATCAGTTCCACAAAAAGCCTTCCAATTAACCGGGCAAAGGATGCCTTGCCAATGCACGCCACCCCCAATTGTGTGTATGAATTCACATGCACTTGCGGATGCAAGTACATTGGGCGAACGCAAAGGCAATTGGCAACCAGGGCCGCTGAGCATTTGCCTAATTGGCTTTTCAAACAGGAAAATAGAACCCCCCGTTCGTCTATAACGAAACACCCGTTAGATAGCGGTCATGTTGTCGACCCTAAAGCATCCTTTCGAGTACTTGTCCGAGCACGTACAACTCGAACCTTGCGTTATGTGGAAGCAGCCTACATACGGAGGGAGAAACCAGACCTGTGCAAGCAGTTAGATCACGTGATCAATCTGCAATTGCCCTGGTAATCTCACGCCTCTATTTTCCTCTGACTGTGATTTGTTGTTAACATTTCGTTTTCCTTTTTTCCTTTTTGATGCTTATGTGGACGT